GTGCAGATGACTAGCGTCTGGATCGAGCGTTCAACTGCGATCTGGAGGGTTACTAGGATACCTGCGATCTCAGCGTACTGAGATTTTAGTTAAACAACCAATGAATCATGAACAGAACCGATTGTTTCTGTTTAATATCTGATTAAGAGAACTGAAGTCCTCGTGTAGGTTGAAATGACCCGTCATGGCCTAAAATAAGAGTTCAGCGTTCCTGCCAGTTCTCAGGCCTGTGCGAGGCCTGCTTTGAGGCTGGAACTCCTGTTTCTTCACTCGAGGTGACCCCTACATTAGGGTGTATACAAATAACTAAGTTGGTATAAATCTTTAAAAAATCATTTCTTTAATCAAAACAGTTTAATGCAGAAACAACCTGTTAAACTGCAGCTCTGAGAACATTGTAGGGATTTTGTTTGCTTCTTAAAAATCACATTGATGTTTATGAATGTGAACAACATTCTTTATTATATTGTAAGAAATATTTCTACAGTGAATTTAATTTAATGAATGACTGCATCTCTCAACTTCTGACAAGCCCAACAACTTCGTTCTTTGTAATGAAATAAATATAACAATTTCAAATTGTTTTAATTACACAGAAGCGTCTTTTGATTATTATCAATAATTAAGCAATTGTAACTAGTCAACAGAAGCTGCAGTAACTGTTAGCGTTCAGGCTAACAGCGCGGGTGCACTGGTCTTAATAGCCCGATAGTAAACATTGACCGTGTTGTTAGTTCCCATCACTGCAAACAACATGTAGTTTAATATTTTATGCACATTTATCATTAAATAAATGAAATAATTTGATCAGACAAGATAGTTTAATAAACTATTTGACTTCTTGTGATTTAAAAATTAAAAAGCAGGGGCTTGCTACGATGTGGCAGCCACAGCTAGGAAAAAGGGTAAAAAGTTTTAGGAGTAGCCTAATTAAACGATACCAAAATACCAACATTGTCCCAATTCAAGGTAATTTAGCTGTATAGCAATAATTTAACACTTACTCAATCCAGAGTAGTTTGTATTTGGTCATCTCTTCATCACAAATCAGGGCTGTTCCCATTATGATTCAAAAAGCAAAGGTGAGTGGTTAGGAATATTTCTTTGTTTACTTTATTTGTTAAAAAGACTTCAGAGTTTGATAAATTAAAAATCGAAAACCATGCAACACAACAACCTAACAAAGCCCTAAGATCACGATGGACTTCCTTTGCAGCAGAAGGAAGTGTACAGTGCATGAAGCCTGGATGAAGCTGTCAGAAGATGTTTAGCAGTTTAATTGTAAAATAGCGCCATCTAGTGGCCGGAGTTTTGTACTACAACAAATATATTCAGTTTGTTACATCTGTTTCATTTTAATTACAAGCATCTTATTATTCTACTTTTTCCCCAACTTTCTTCCTCACAATTTTATCAAAAGTTCAGTTTGATATTTTTGGTTGAATTCAAGTCTAACAAGATCATTCTTGAGAGAGAAACAGAAGGGTGATACTTGTTCAGCACTCTGCTGTGCTGTTTTTACTGGGGCACCAGACCAGATTAACTGATCAACAATCTGCTCAGACTCATACAGATTGTAGGGAAACATTTTCATAAATAATGAATACTAACTTTGTCTTTTGGAAATTCATTACAAAAATAGAACTTTAAAATTTTATAGAATAATGGATAAAAATTATGACTAGTTTGTTGATTTTTACTTTTTTGTTTGCATAGATGAATGTAAATACAGGAGACAGCAAAATGTAAAAGGAACACATGGAAATAAAACGACTTGAGGAAAAAATATGGGAAAAAAATAAGAATTAAGAATTTAAGAGGCACAAATACAAGTAAATT